CGATGGCCTATTGCACCGGAAGTGGGAGAGTCGCGATGGAGTACATGTAGTCCGCCAAGTGATACTGCCGAGGTCACAGGTGAGAAATCCATTTCACAGGTGAGAAATCTATTGGAGGAGCTTCATAGCAGCCGTTCAGGAGGACACTTTGATACTAAAAGGACACTGGCACGAGTTCGGGAAAGATTTTTGCCGACGGGATGTAGCGGATTGGTGTAAAAAATGTGATATAGCAATGGCAGGACAAAGGTCTATGGATTCGCTAGGGAACGACTGAAAGCCCACAACACCGATAAAGCAAAAGCTAGAATCGACAGGCGTGCCACAGGGACATATTTTGAGAGAGGCGATCCAGTATGGCTGTACAATCCCAAGCGCCGAAAAGGACTTTGTCAGAAACTGCAACGGAACTGGGAATGCCCCTACACCGTCCTCAAGAAGATTAACGACCAGGGCACCTATCCTCGACCAGTGCGTTTAAGCGCTCGCTTTGAAGAGATGCGAGTGGTTCAATGCGAAGACGCATTAGAAACCGTATTCTTAACACTTCGTATCTGTGCCTTCGTAATCCTCTTTTATAAATGCGAATGGCAACTTGGCAACCATGTATGATCGACGATTATTTATGTTAAATTGTCTGCTAGAAAGGGGACTCAAAGTTCACACCGTTTGTTTTGTGAAAATTATTCGCAAAAAAGAAGCAATGTTATTATGAGTAATGGTTTTGAGCATGAAGTCGTGGTTTTGGGTTGTTTTTGATGTACTGTTTGGCTATACATAATTTGCAGCGTTATAAAATGGAAAATATTAGTAAAAAGACACATATAATTAACCGAAACAATCTGATAAACGCTTGATCAGAAAATCTGAAAGGAGCTTTCCTATCATCATAAACTCTTCGAGGATGATTATTTGCCTCTTCTAATTTGTAATAAGATATTTAAAAAAAATATATTTGCCATCATACCTATAGGTCACGATCAATTTATGAAACAAAACAAAAACACTGCAATATTAAAACGTGCACCCAGTTAGACCTTCGCAAGCTCTTTGGACCTTCGCATTTGAATGCGAAGAGCAAAAACCCACTCGCTGTCAAATGCGCACCCGCAATATACATTCGAACGACCAAGAATAGCTACAACACGCTTTTGAGCAAATACGCATTCGCATTTAGTAAATGCGCATTCGCATTGATTAAAACACCAGTCGAGGATAGGTGCCCTGATCTACCGCATTCAGTTGTCAGCGGGAAGTAACCCCAAGATAGTTCACGTTGAAAAATTAGCGCCATATCGTGGTCCAGATCCTCCCCGTTGGCTCCAACCAGGTCCCAGTAATCAAGTTATTCGGGGCGAATAACTAGAGAGGAGGGAGCAATGTTACGCAGCACCCTGCGGCTCTTATAGGAAACGTACAGATAGAAAAAGAAGTGAAATGTTACTCATCGCCCTACTGTGTGCTGCGGTCGTCATAAGTAAAAGAAGATAGAATAGTCCAGAAATGCCATTACCCGTCAAGAATATTTTAGACGACAGTCCCAGAAGGTTTGAGAAGGATCAAGCAAGCTATATAAGGATGAACCTGACGTCAGTTTTCAGTTTTATGATGTTAATATTATCAGTTGAATAGTTGTTGTAAAAGTTGAGTTCAAATAAATTGCGATACCAAAAACCTGCGTAACAATATGATCATCTAATATCAAATTTTATCAATCGTATACGAGGTTTATCAAAAATAAAGGTAAATTTACTCTTTAGCAAAATCATATTTTTTGACAAACCTCGTATACGACTGATAAAATTTGATATCAAGTGGTTGCATTTTTGGTTTTAGACCACACACCAATTTTTATGAAGAATAATTTTTGTTTCCTATAATTAATAATAAAAAAGTTTTCTATATGCCGTCAACTTACATAGACATACTGTGTATGAAACTTATGACATATTGCTGATAAATATTTCAGATATTATGTTTTTGTAAGAAAAAAAAAAAAATTGAATTAAACATAAAATTTCACTTCATTTATACAGTCGTAATTTATATTTTCATGTTGTTTTGATTTTCACTTTTTTTATCAATTCAGAATTACAGTTATAAATTTAAGTTTGTTTTTATGTTTTAAGAGTAAAGTAGTTTAGGAGTTAGTACTTATGTAAACTACAAAATCCAATAGAAGGGTAAATATATGCACGTGGCCCGGGATTAAATTATTACATAGGCCGTGTGCATATATTCTATTCACGCCTTAAAAGCAGGAAATAAAGGACGGTCCTAACGTCTATAACTTAATTTTTTGTTTGTGCACATTATATCTGTGACAATCTATGTAGAAAAGACTTTCGTTGGTAGATAAATCTGTTTTTGTTGGTAGAAAAACTATTTTTTGTTGGTAGAAAGACTATTTTTTGTTGTCACAATAATTTTTTATAAAAAATGAAAAATAATTTTACTTTTGCCTAATATAACCTGCCAAATGAACGTAAAACATTTATTTAGTTAGTTATTTATGAGAAAAAATACTTTATGAACAAAAAAAAAATGTCTCCTATAATTATGTAACAGAAAACGTAAATAGGAATATATTACCAGACCAACTTAAATATTGTTAATTCCACGCCTAATCAATATATTCGCCATAAGAAATGCACGATACATGCGCATATTTTATAGATATGTGGCCTGAAATCAAATGCTGCTTGTGAATAATATGTATGCACATGGCGCGATGGGAAAGTTGGGTGTGCATAATATATATACACACATGGCAGTCAACCTGTTACTCAGAAACAAGGTTCCTAATAAAGGTAAAATAACATTCAGAAGAAGAAAGCTAAGTCCCACAAATTAATAATAATTATTACGTGCGTACCATACAGTCAGACTCTTCCAGGTCAACTGTAACGAGGTAAATAAGGAGATAGATAAATACTTGCTTAGCGGTCTCGTATGGTATACGGATGGATCTAAAACTAACAAGGGAACAGGCTCTGGCGTACATGGAGTTAAACCCAAATGCGACATTATTGTCTCACTGGGAAAACATGCCACTGTATTTCAGGCTGAAATACATGCAATCGAATTGTGTGTACGAGAGAATTGAAGAAGAACAAAAAACAAACCATCCTAATTCTCTCAGATAGCCAGGTAGCTTTAAAGGCTCTTGATTCAAACAGAATTAAGTCAAAGCTTGTCTGGAACTGCCTTGGAATACTAAATGATCTGGCAACCCACAACAAGGTAAAACTAGCGTGGGTACCAGAGCACAAAGGTATCCAAGGAAATGAAAAGGCTGATGAACTCGCCAAAGAGGGATCAGATCTACCATTCACAGGACCCAAACCTGTATTTGGGATAAACAAAACCTCTGCTCGATAGGCAGTGAACAGGTGGATAACCATAAAACACCAAATTCACTGGCAACAGATAAGAGGGCACAGAATCAGTAAGCTCATACTAAAGGGACCAAACCCACGCATGGCTACTGAGGCACTACAACTCACAAGGCCTCAGATATCCACCATTGTGGGATTACTAACAGGGCACTGCTTGCTGAAACACCTTCATGTAATAATGGGATTACACAATGATCCCACTACATGTAGACTTTGCACGGAAGAGGAAGAAACCTCATACCATGTGATCTTCGAATGGAATGCTCTTACTGGGCGACGTTACATCCTTTTCGGCCTAGAACCGGAAAGAACGCCCCAGGAACACTTGGTATGAAATCTATTAAAACTAACCAAAGACACAGGACTATTCCAAAGATAGTACTTGAATACGGGGAAAGCAGGGAAATACAATAGACCCAAGAGGCCGCAATGTTCTGGGCCAAACCTAACCCTACCTGCTTACAACCGATAAAGATAAAGACCATACAGTGATCCTGGGTCATTCGGATTCAAATTACATCGGAATACAATAAAGTTCCTTCCATTTCCTGCATTTCACCCACTTTAAAATGAAATTCATTTGAATGTCTTGCGGAGAAGTTTGAATCAAATTATTGAAAGAATTGTATCATACCATTAAGGTAATATTATACCTCAATGTATCATCATACATAGGGAAAATAAATCGATAATTGTGTTGATAACTGGAACGATGCGAGACAAATATATAAAAAGCATGAGACAATAAATGACAGCATACAGCTGACTTGCGGTATCACCGATTCAAAAACAGATTCCTAAACCAGTCCTGCACAACTCAGATTTGAAAAATCGTAACTGTACGAGGGCCGCCAAGAGAAGCCTGAGCCTATAGTGGTCTGCTAAAAAAAAAGGTAGTCACCTTCAATTTATAAACAAACTCCTGCTGGTCGAGCTTCTAAAAAAAATATCTAGCTCGTTACTCACAACTGTATAGTTTGACGTAGGCGGGCCAAACTAGTCAACGGCCGGCTGGACGCCAAAACGACAATGGCGGGCCGTATGTTGTGCAGGCCTGCCCTAAACAATCATTTGCTTACTGAAACATGTCTAAAACAGTGTGCCAACATTTTTTTTTATATGGTAATCTCCCTATGACATCTATTTAAAAATGAATGTGCTAGACATTACAGGAATTCATAGAAAATCTCTACTTTGATAAATACATTTCTTAATCGTAATTCCGCTTAGATTTGCCAAATACCCAATAAAATTTAATTCGAATACTTGACGAAAAGCAACCAGTGCAAACGGTTTTCCAAGCTATACCATTTTTTGTCTGGAAATATTAATTTTCATGTTACCGATTGAATAATTTCAATGTCAACCTCTTATCGTTCCTTCCATAAAATTGATAAACGTCATTTCTGTGGCAGTCTTGATGAAAGATAAAGAGTAAGCACATCTCACTTAATGACTACATGGCAAGACTCGAATTGTTTATACTTTTATTTATTTATTATTAATAATTTTATATAAACACGTCACAACTAAAATTCCGTTTATAAATATACATATTTTATATATTTGATTATTAAATTAAATTAATAATGAATCTCTTACCTGTCATTCGAGAGTGAATCGTCCGAGTAACAGGAACTTTTATCAGAGTTTCTCCTTGGAAAAAACTCTTCGCCGCTGGCACCGACGATTTGAGCTTCTATTTCTTGTTTTTTTGTTTCGTTTTCCTGACTAGTTTTGCGGCCGATGCCGCGAGTTATCGACGGAGAATTGTCGGCTGGTTCGGATATGATGAACTGCGGAATCTTCTGCAGTCTTTGGTTGTCTAAACTGTCCATCGAGTCTTCGGAAGTGTCCGATCCGGCAACTAACGTTACTTCACTTCCTGTAATGTACATTCAAGCAAATAAGAAAATATAATCAAATATGAGAAAAAATACTAACCCAAAACGTCTGTAACAGAAATTTGTGGATGTCCTTGCTCAATCTTCGGAGAACTCTGGACAGGTATTTCCTCTTGGATCATATCTAATCCAGGACTTCCCGGGTTGCTAATTGGAGAATTAGTAAGGCTGCGGTGTCCGTGAATATTAAGGATGTGTAGGTAGTTTTGAGGAGGCGCTTGGCCGCCGATGTAAGGCAGATTCGGTGTGAAAGTGTCCATCTTGCTGTCATCAATAAGTTGTTGGTTGCGCATCTCCAGATGAAGATTACTGGACGGGATACCTTGGGTTATTGAACCCGTACTGGCTGTGTTTAATCCACTTATACCTACAAAATAACGTTTTTCATACAACACCCATACACCAGTTAAAGAGTGGGAGAAAATATTCAATTAGTGCTTATATATAATGTGAGCATTTGGGTTGAAAACCTCAAATTATCTACGTTAGAGAACGTTTAGACAAAGAAAGCCGAAACACATCAAATTTTAAATTTAGTTTTGCTTTTATTTTTTTAGAATAATTATTTTTGTAAGACGTTTTAGTCGTTCTACTATAAGAAATATATTTCTTTTTGTTTATTGACTATTTTGTCAAGACAAGTGTGAAGTGTAGTATTTTTTTTGTAATAAAAAAATAAAAAATAAATAAAAAACAAATTTTCCATAATCCACATTCTCTAGCCCAATTGGCGCCCCTCCACCTTCGCAGCTCACAAGCCGCCACTGCTTTTTCACCAAAGTGTTGGTGAAAGTATTAAAGTGCAAGTAACGACTAAAAAACCATTCAAGCAAATATTGCCAGAATAATGGCAAATATCTGGAATTTCTGTTATATTCAGTGTATACACTAGCAGCGTGTAATTTACGAAAACGGTTTTACAAGAATTTCATCGAATTGGAGCAGCCAGAGCAGATTTGATAAAGAAAAAAGAAGATACAACTAAACCGTCTTTCGGTTTCTAATTGTCTTTTAATTCTAATTTTTGAAATTCCTTGTCAAATTGAACCTCCCTAAGATTTTTTGATTGAAAGCATCGCTGGGCTCATTTTCATATCACTATATTTTATATTTATATTTCACGTATTTTATATTTATGATTCATTTAAGCATTAAGTTTTACATTGTAAACAATTAAGGATTTTTTTACCATTGTATTGTTTTATACTAGGATATTCCTACTAATAAAGATTCATTCATTATTATTATCCAAAAATAAATTTTATTTTTAACCACGACAAGACAATTGCTATACTTTTCAAAAATTCCAATCTTCATTTGGACCTATTATCATGTTTTGAAAATGAACAATACTTTACCTTGTGTAATAGAAGACACACTGGTGCCCTGCGATGCCTGTCCATATCCTCCGAAGACAGGAGAAGTATTAGGAGTTAGATGAGGATTCAATATCGGCGAATTGTTTCCGGAATACATGCCCATGGACTGGCTGAAAACAGTCTGTCCAATCGGTGATGTTAAACTAGTGGTCGTATAAGGCGAAGAATGCAACGGACTGCGGTTAAGAGAATCGTAGGAATACGCGAGGCTGCGGTTGGAGGCCTCGTACGTAACTGGACCGTAACTGTGTTGCTGGTAGTTTTCGGGGGGAAGACCCAAAGTGGGGTCTAGGCTTGGGGAAAAGTTTTGTAGATCCTGCATCGTCACTGTTTCTGGGAGACCTTGATAGAATTGGTGTACTGGCGATGTGCATTCTGACATGTGGTGGCGTAGGGGTTGATCAGACATGAATTTTTGGTGTATTGGTGAACCTGGACGTATAAATGAGATTATTAGCTAATAAAAACTAAACAAAATGAATATTTGAAAGCGAAAAAACTAGTAATGAGTTTTATTTTACCTGGAATAGATCTTGGGGGACTATTTCTTGCAGATAGTCCCCTCTGCAGTCTCTGTTCTTGGGTAGAAGGGCTTAAAGTTCGACAACCGCTTGCAGAGCCTTCACTGCCCCTTCTCACCGGTGAAAACCTGTCTAATGATTTTTGTTCTCTTCCTAAAATAGCAAACACAAAACTTTGGATGAGAAACCCAATTTTGTTTGTGCACGAATATTATTTACTTTTCAAAATGTTAACACATTGTGTATGATATTTAATACAGTTGATAGTTTATGAGCAAAGCAAAAAACCAAATTCCAGTGAAATCATAAATAATACACTATAAATTCCAAAAATGTATATTTAGTTTCCAAAAAATGATATGTATGAACCAATAACCGATGATTATCCTTTTCCATTTTGAGTTCATATTTTTCCTTGTCCACATTATTATCCATCTCCTATAATGTTTTATTATTTGTAACCACAATTAAAGCAATAAAATATACAGCTGTGTTGTTGGGATCAAGTGAATTTGACCAAACAATTTTAATATTTATATTTTTTTTGGAAATTGGATTTGCGATAAGATTATTACAAATTAATAAATAACAATTGATGTTTAGGATTTAAGTTTAAAATAATCATCATTTACTTTTCAATAAATAAAAAAAAGTAGGTAAATTTTGATTTCTAATTAATTAGAAAAAACTTTTATTTAATTATGCAGTTTCATATACAAGGTGTTTTTAAATTCTTTTCCCATGAATTCATGAGGAAATTTCTTATTGAAAATTATGAGGGGTGGATCCTTTACAAAATTTACTCGGCCTAATCCCTTAAGAGACATCATCCCCGAAAAGATGTAAGTAAAATTAAGTTTCTAATTTTTTTCTGTACTAGGTGTTTATATAGAAACTTGTAATGAATTATGGTTGTTCATTACCTTTTATTATGAGTGCATGCAATCGTCAAATTGGAAGTTTCTACATTACATCTTTTCGGGGTAATATATCTTAAGGGATTGGAGTTGTAATCATAATTTTCAGTGAGGAATCTCCTGATTTTTTTTGCATGAAGTTAGTAACACCCTGTATACATATATAACGATTACAATGATGATTACCTTATAAATGTTGTTGCTAAGTACGTTTAAACAAAAATTTCACTTTATTTGATATTGTAGTCATTGTAGTAGTTAAATAAGTTTATTTTAATAATTGCAGTGGTATTTTACTTTAATTTTCATTAAAAAATAAAACAAAGAAAATATAATATCTCGTCTAGTTTGTCTATAAACCAATAGCCCAAAACGGAAGACCTAGAAGGGTAAAATTTGAAAGGCCCAATGTCTTTATAACTCATAAACCTACTAAAGATGGATTTATGAAAATTATGGATTTAAAAATAGACTGAATTCGGAAAATATACAGTATGTCTAGTCTATAGCATGGAACTACATCGTAGGTAAAGATTAAACTTAGGTCGTTACATTATTTATTTTTCTTATTTGTTTAAAATCGAGGATAAAATACTGTTAAATGGTACCTTTGAGATTAAATGAAACCGACTTCTCATAGCAGCAAAATAAATTACCAGAAACAATATCACTGGAAGGAAAATATTCATCTCATCTATATAGATAAGAGACAAGCACCACTTGCACGGGACAGAAATTACTCAGGGAGACTATTAGAATGTCAAGAAGCTTTGGCCGAAGTATCCATCAACAGATGGATCAAAGATACCCTGACAACACCACAGCAAACAAATACTTGACTTGCCAAGTATTGAAGCATCTCCGTAGCATATGGCTGTCAGAATCTGAAATCTCCACAGGGTGCGAACATCGACCATCAAGCATATCCTCTAGGATTGTTCGGCACTCTCATTAATTAGAAGATTTGTGTTCGGCGAGTTTTGGCTAACACCGGCCGATTTAAGAGAAGCACCTTTCGGCGACGTTATCAACTACATCAAATCTGCAAACTGGCTGACGAGCTAAGAGGAGGCCTATCAATTTAAGAGGATGTACAATGGGCCTAGCAAGGCCTAAGGGTCGTGGAACAACCCACCCTCCACACGTCACAGATCCAGAGAAATGGGGTTATTTTAAATTATAGGTTTTTATAGAAAATAATAAATTTATCAATTTTCAGTAGAAAGACGACCTAAGTTAGACCATTATCTTTAGATTTTTAAATACTATATATTCGCAAATCAGTCTATTTAACTTTTGGTCCACATGGATTTTATAAACAAAGAGGGTGGTAAAAAGGAGAGGATAGTTTTTGACATGATTCATTAAAAAGCATTACTTGCTTTCTGTACTTTTATTTATGTTGTTCAATCCCAATCCAGAGTATTATTGTTAATAATTCTGCACTAAATTATTTAAAAAAAGTTTAAACATACGATTATCTTGTATTAAAGTTGCCTAGAGCTAGTAAAATACCCAAATAAAGTGAACATTTGAATGAACGTAACTTAAATAGCATTCTAGCAACCTACCTTGTAATTCTTGTACCGTAGGCAAGGGAGGTTTGTGCCTGGAGTGTTTGCGTGTAGGCAAATTTGGGGGCATATAGTTGCGATTCATGCGTGCTTCTACTTCCATCACGACCTCGGGTGGGATTACTAACAAAATACGCATGCAAAATCATAAATAAAACAACAACAAAAAAACCACACGAAAAAAATAGCTATGTATTTACAAAATTGCAAAAAAAATGGTGGAAGATATTGGTATATTCCCAAAAATTGTAATAATTTTGATAAAGGATCAAAAATGCAAAAAACAATAACGTCAATATACACAGTGGTCCACTGGAAAACAGTCTATACCGATATTTGGCAATAATTATTAAATTAAAAAAAAAAAAAGTTGAGACCTACTGGTTTTTGACCCAGAGGTGACATTTTTATGTAATAATTTTATTGGGAATTTAGCAATATGGCTGTTCATTGCGTTACGCGTTTGATTTTAGCGCCCTCTAGCTGAATAAAAAACTGTCATGTGACTATTAATTTAAAAGCTAATTTTATAATAAAGAATGATATTATTTTTCACAATTTAAAATCCATCCATAAAATGATTCTAAAGTGAGTCATGACCAATAGAGATACGACTAATGTTCGTAAAAACTACGCACGGCATTGAATTAAATCTAAACTGACACGTAGACAGATGAATAATACTTTATAAATATTTTTGTGGATCATTTCCATATTATTGACAAGTACAGTACAAATTGTGTACAGGTATGATCGAATTTATATTACAGTAATTTAATGACGAATATAGCAAAACTAAATAATTGAAAAATCTTGCAACTTAATCGCAATCGAACTAAAATAGCAAATTTATGATGCACATTAAATTATTAATAATTTTAGCTTTTTAAATCACACTGTACAATAAGTTAAAGTTTTTTTAGTCCGCTAGAGGGCGCTAAAATCAAAAACAGAATAAACGGTAATATTGCCAATTTCTCCATAAAATGATGCTCCACATATGGTACAATCTCTATTTAAATTTAAGGGATAATTAAAAGTAGAAGGGAGAGAGATGATACATATTGAGGCCCCAGAGCAAAAACCTGATAAGTAAGAAAATTTAGTTATAAAAAGTATTGACGTTTAAAAGGTTTTTGTTCATTTGCCATCTTTTTTAATTAAAAATTAAATACTTTTGATATTTTACAATTTAATTTCTGATTTTTTTTTTTTAATTTAAGTATGTTCTAAATTCACCGAAATTTAGCCATCCTACTTATTAGATTTTCGACAGTGATTATTAAAGAATTCCAAAGAATTATCAGACAAGTTATTATTCTGTAATAATTGTTATTTTTAGTGAAATAAAAAGCCATGATATTTAAGTTTTCTTAAAAGCCAAAAATTATAATTTTCAACATAAGTTACCTAAATAAAAAAAAAAAATGACGTACGGTTAATACATAAATAAAGTTTGTTGCCTGAACAAAAATTGATCTTACTCGTGATCGGTTTTTCAAATACCAATTAACAATACTTAGATTTCACAAAATGGAGTATTTTAACAGAGACCACTAAAAACGGTGTCCGATGGTATATAAAAGTTATTTTTCCCCTTTTGGCGACTTATTGGGTTTTGGATCTCAACCCTCCATACTTGGATTAAAAATAGACCTGTTTCAGATTTTTTTTTAATATAATAATTACTGCCAAATACCGGACCCACCCTGTATTTCTATGTGCACTATTTAATATTACTTTTGGCTGATTAGCTGATTTTGGCACCATACCAATAATGTATGAATTAAAGAAGAACATCAAAAAACATTCAGAACAGTAAGTACCTCAAACTGCATTTTTTTTTAAATCGACTTACCTGGACGCTCCGTGACAGTAAGTAAACCAGTACGTCTAACTCTGGTACCTGTAGATGGAGCTGAATGTATTGTGTGGACGTCTTCCGGATTGGCCATTGTATGTCTTTTTGTGTTTCCTCGACTTTGCATGTACCTTTAAAAAAAATAACATCAACAAGAAGAAATTTTTGTTCGTTTTTTATTTGACAACAAAAATGTTGCCGAATACTGTGGTGTTCCAAGTTCCAAACAGAGGTAGAGATCTTTAAAACTAAAAATCTCTGGACTCGGGACTCAAATACTGTAATGAACATATATTGAAGTTTCTTTAAAAATCAGGGTTCGAAAATATCGTGATATTTATATAAATATCATATCACATGATATATATCGGATATATATCCGATATGTATCAGTTTTAAAATTTAATTAAAAACAGTATTGTTTCTTGCACAAACTATATTTTAAATTTTAACACAAACATATTAACAAAAACTTATATTCTAAACAACAAAACCGTTTATTCTAACTCAAATTAAAAAGAAAAAACAAAAATAATTTATAAAATTAACAGATTTTAAGATTATTTTGTTAACATTAATATTTAACACAAACACATATTAATCGATAGTTATTATACTTTTATACAGGGGCGTATTGAGACATTTCAGGATGTTCAGAATGGTGTAAAACATTTTTAATTTAATAAATAAAATTATCGAATATATCGGATATATATCAAGATATAAATATCATGATTATATATCACTTGATATATATCCTCCGAACCCTGTTAAAAATTCATTTAATTTATCTAAATAAAAAAAATGGTCCTTCCTATTATTATACCGCCATTTGAAGGTTCTAAAACTTCCCCATTTACTGTCATTCATTCCGCGTCGTCGATGGTTATCCACTAGTCGGCTAGGTCCCATTGTGGAATGTCCCAGCCATCACACATCCATAATGTTACCGGAAACTTCAATTCTTAACAAATAAGAGAATGTGGATTCATTTCGTTATTCGCACCATGGAAGCGGTAATGTTAGACAGGTAAAAATCCTCCGTCGCCACTTCACTTTTAAGTCTAGTTTTGAAACTATAGTCTCAATATCACACTGACAGCAGACATCCGAAAAGCTGTGATCTTTATTTTCGAAAAAAATTAATTTTCGTGACTTATAAAAAACCCATTTTGTTTCTTTTTATTTTGGAAAATAATCGCGTTTAGATGATTCAATTTAAAAATAGAATTCGGCATTGTTTCCAGGCAATTATCTACCGTAACGAGTAAAGCCCGTTATTGTTACTCTTTTAGAATCATAGTATGATTTCAACTTGACCCTGGAATTTTCGTAACTCCATCTGAGGCTACCAAGTCATTTTGAGTCGTATTAAAAGGTCGTGGAGTAAACTACACTAATAAATATGATGCCGGACTATCGGCAAGAAAATACTTTACAATACTCTCAGTATATGTGTATAAATATCATCATATATTTCATATAAAGAGAAGAAAGAGAATTATTTAAAATTTAGAAGATACATGTTATGTATGTATTTTACCTTGCTACTGCCAATTCGTCCAAACCATGGGCGTGCTCCAGAGGTTGTGTACCAGTACCGCTGCTACTTAAACTTGGATTACCACTGGAGCTAGTCGACATCATCGATAACTGTTCGTGAGAGCCAGGACCGCCCCAAGCCATGTGCAAATTCGCACCACCATCTATGAAATAAAAAATAGATAAGAGACTGTCTGTTATCCATAAGTTAGAATGAATATCAATTGGAAGGAAATAAAATGTAAAGAAAGCGGGTTAAACTATTTTATAAAAATTACCTGAGGCTCTTCTCCCAAAACCTCCAGCAGCGCTCAACACTACAGGAGGTTTCAGTAAATGCGGATCCTTTCCGCTATAATAATGTGGATTCTGTTGTGCCGAAGTAGTCAAATTTAGAGGAAGATTAGTATTAGGATGCAGCCTAGCACCGTTTGGATCTTGTGGATGAGCCATGTAATGAGTTTCTAACACCTGAAAAATACCAAACAACTTAAAGTGTCCATATAGATTTACCATCAAGGATAAGGGTATCTATTTTGATAATCAGTAGATATTTATTAAACATATTAACGCCATTACTAGCAAGGATTTTCAAATACTGGGGTTTGTAAAGGGTAATTCAGAGGATTTATCAATTTTTTTTGATAATCCACTGTTATGTTCGTTAATTCAATATGCTTATATGTACAATTTTGAACTTTTGAATACACTTAAATTATTAACATTAGAAAATCGCAGATTATTTATGGAAATTACTTTTGTTTGTGGGGAGAAAGGTGTATTATTATCCTACATTTTTAAAAATTCCTTCGACTAAATGAAGAGTATGAGACTGCACTGGTTTTTTTTTTAGGTAATTAAGGAATAAAAAAACCGGAATCACTAAAAACTCTTTTTAATCTTGAATACCGTATTATAATTTTAACATCACTGTACTTACTACATTTTGGATACTTATTAAAATAAAATTAATCACAGCCTTTAGGCATTGAAAGATTTAAATAAAAAGAAAACTGTACAACATTTAGAAAGCAAGCCGGTTTATGAAGTCGTTGTTGACGGTGTTGATCGGTGCGGTGAGAATTTGATTCTGCGGATGACTCCAAGCTTTCGCATGGCGACTTTTCGCGGTGGTAGGATCAACCAACCATCTGCGAGCTAGTAACAATTTGTGGTTTGTGATGAAGAGTGGCGCAACGCTTTTGAGTAATTTGTATAAATGCCAGGGACATTCTACCCCAAATGTTTTAATTCGAATTATGTTGAAGCTTTCTTAAACACTGTTATCAGGGTACATTTGTTGTCGAGACCTTTTCTCACTTAGACTGCAGTTGAATTCAGGTGTACTTAGAACAACAATACTAGCTTTTGATTGATTTTAAATATGGTGTGAAAAGTCTCTCAGTGCTGACTGGTAGGAATTTAAAATGATTCAAAGCTTGAATAGAAGTAAAAAATATATAGTTGGATAGTTTGAAAAGTAAAATTATTGTCTAGATAATCAAATTGCTAAAGATACAGGAAAGGTTGCAAAAGACATGAAAAAGAAACATGTTTTACGATTTTCCTGAAAGTGATTGTAATTTATTTATTTATTGGAAACAAACAGGCATTGCCCAATTTATATGTTTCATTTACATTTTCTTAATAATAATACTGAAATTATAACAACCCGCAACCCAATATTAATAATAACAATAATAAAATACTAACACCTATTAAGGCTAAAAAGAGTAATAACTCATAATAACACGGTAGTGAATGAATAATTTGAACTGCAAGATCTTCCCAACAAACCTTCGGAATCCAGTGATATTTGCAACGTGATTTGTAATGACTTATAGTAATTATTGATTTAGATTTCATTTAATAATTCTTTTACCCTAAGTTTAAATTTTGAAAAAATATTCATATCAGAAAGTGGTATTATATCTATAGCATTTATATTATACAGTTGACACATCCTGCTTATTGGACTATTATCTCCGACAGTAAATGTTAAGTGACGAGGACGCATTCCAGCTGGAGGTACATAGTAATTGATTTGGCTTAGTAAGTAAAAATTGTCAATTAAATTATTTGATAATTTGAATAAGAAAGATTGCTAATAAGCATTTGAGATTCAAGTCGTTGTATATTAAATTCATTTCTTAGTGGACCATAGGAAATATATCCAGGATTCGTTCCATGTTTTTTTGTAGTATAAATATTTTATAAATTTATTCTGTACAGTTTCTAAATTTTGTTTCAAACTGTAGTAACGCATATAAACTGACCTGTTCGTGAGCAGGATCACCCGGCCCGACAGTGTGCCTTCTGACAGTCAAATATTTATCACCTGAAGAATTATAGCTACTATATCCAGTAGATGTAGACGCCGTGGAAGCAACAGCCATTGAATAATTATCATCGTTGGTATCCATATCCACTTCTCCATACTAAAAAAATTAAAATAACATAAATATTCTATGAAGTGAAATAAAAGAATAATTTTGCTTTATTTGTAGAATGTTGAACTCACCTTTTCTAATGGCTGACTATCCCCTTCCCCGACTAAATAAACAGCAGGAATAGTGGGCATAGAAACAAAAGGAGATCCAACCTCATCGGAAGCTCCTTCATTCGAACACTTCAATGGATCGTTCATTTCGTCTCCCATCTCTCTCAAACAGTTCTCGTTGAAGCTTTCCCTTCTGTAGTTAAACGGTTCCTGGGTGTCTTGTTTAACGTTTAGACCGTCCGAACCGCCCGCCAATTGGGTAACTAATCTATTTTCGTTGAAAGATTCGCTTCTTTCATTGATTTTTGACGGTTTGCCATACAGTTGGTCTTCTGAAATGAACATTTTTTATATATCCAATGTCAAAATAAAATAATCATATTCGTGTGGGTTAACGGTAACGCTGGAATAACTAGTAACGAAAATTTGGATACACACAATTACATATGTTTATACGACTCCGTTATTAATAACGTCTCTCTAAGGTAAATTTGGAGCTAATGGGAGAAAGTGATTTAAATTCATACATAATACTTATAATCATTATAAGCTGATTCATCCCATCCTTCCCAGTAGGTAGATAATACTCAAGATGCCCCGCCAGGATGTGATTAAATAACGAATTATTGCCCTCTCATTTATATAAAATAGTAGTACTAACTTCTCCTAATTGCACTTGTGATAACATCATTGTGGGAGGACTAAATCCTTTAATATTTGCTTGTCCAATCTATAGACAAACTAGAAATATATTTCTAAGCAACTTATTAAAACTGGGGGTAATTTTACCTATAAATATTACTTTTCCTACGACCACTTAGGAAAGTGACACATATCACACTATATAGACCTATGGAAAGTGCCCTATATCACACGCGTATGAATAAGAATTTACTTTCCACCCAAGTGAGAATAATGCTACTTTCCGCAGTAGCTGTCAGAAAATGTCAAACACATAATTTCTATTTTGATCTATGTAATGTCCATATTAATACTAAAATCGATATGATTGTTAAATTATTGTAAATTAGATCCTAGATATTTATCTTTAACAATTATTTTTAAAATAATTTTAAAATAACTAAGATATATTTGCTTTTTATTCTGGTTAAACACATAAGCGATTAGATCAATCAATTACCGTAAGGCCTGTTAGCTCAGTTGGTTAGAGCATCAACTTTGCAATTTGAGACCGTCCAACGACCGCGATCGAATCCTGGCTGTGCCAGAATTTTTTTTTTATTTTTTTTTTATTTTTTTTTATTTGTTTAGAAATTATGAAAATTTAATAAATACGATTATTGTTGATTATTTTTTTAAATACATTTTAATTATTATAATAATCTGGTTTTACATTTTTTGATGAAATTATTTTGTGGTCGTAGGAAAAATATTGTACATCACTTGTGTGAAAAGTGATTTTCCACACTCGTGTGATAGTCGCACTCGGCTTACGCCTCGTGCGACAATATTTCCCACTCGTGTGAAAAATGTCACTTTCCACACTCGTAATGTAATATACTATTTCACCTTTGTTTGGAAAATAAAAACGTTCTAGATCAGTTAGTTGATTAGCTATATAAAAAAAATCTAATTTTTATTAATAATTAGAAAGGCACAATATGAAAATTATAAATAAATATTCTGTGGCAAATGCTGTCATCATATGCCAAGAATAGAAAAAAATATATTTCCCTATAGCGATGATTTTAAAAAACTTACCGCTAATATTTTGTTCTTCAGATCTCTGCTGGTTGTCCACCCGTCTCTGCTCCAAAACCTTCGACTGGAAATTGATGGTCTTTTGGTGCAATTTATCTAACAACAAATTGTAGATGGCGTAAATATGATCGAACGAGTTGCTCTTTAAACTCTGCACGATCATGTTTTGGTTGAGATTTGGTAGTTGCAACATGTGGTCGATCACGGTCTTATTTAATTGGAGGTCTTTTTCGGAAATTATGTCTTCGACGGGTGGCGCGTCGGCTAGCCACCGATGCTTTAGGATTTGCACAATTGTCAGTCTTTTATCGGAGTCTACTACCAGCATGTGCCTTATTAAATGTTCACAATCTACAAAGAAACGTTATTTTATTTTTTTTTTGTGTGTAACAATGCTTTTAAAGCATAAAATAGAGTGCATGTATACAGATGCAAAAATAGAAAAAAAAAAAACGAATTTAAAAAAGACATAAGTGGCACAAACCAGATTTTTTTATAAAACTCTTTCTTTAGAATATTTGGCGCTACACGGCTCATATTGTAACCTTGGAATCATGTAATAAAATGTTTTTTAAAACTTGAAACTCATTCTTTAACATACAAGAATTCCTCTTAGACGTTTCTTGGAAACTATAAGGAATTCAAATTTGAAGCAAGGGGTCTTATGTCTTATTAATTATTTTATATAACACCCTGTGCATTATTATTTGAAATTTGGATCTAGCTAATCTTGGGAATTCTTCCATTATAGGGTTTGACAGTATGCTGGAGTGTTTTACGAGATTTGGTGATTTATATTATCAAATCGTATCCAAATTAACACCATGAATCTTTTGATATAATTAGATTTTAAATATCATTTGAACCAAAATTTTGGGGGTTCACAGTAGCAGAATATAGATCCCGGTACAGATATAGGTAAAAAACTGTCAGAGTTTTAGAAAGGTATATTATAAACTTTATAAAACACTGACAGTTTTTTCGTACATTTGTACTGATACCTATATTCTGTCACTGTGAACCACCATATTTTTTACATATTCTTAAAGTTCATAAAAAAATAACATTTTTTTATTGGACTTTTACTTATTGAGTAACACCTACTTGAAAATTGTGCTGCGCGGAAAAAAGTTGAACATATTATGGTTAGCTATAAAAAAAGATTTTAGCCAAAATGTTTACAAAAAAAAAAAAAAAATAAAACTTTCGTCTGAAACGTTTTTTTATAAAAAAAAGTATTTAACTGTAACACTTTAATTTAAACACCCGGTATAGAATGAATATGTTTTGGTAAAATTCCGGATGAATCATGAAAAACTGGATTTTATGACACAGTCTATCAACGTTTTGTCAGTCGCAAACGTCTCACTTAGTGTGTAGACACAACGGAGCGCCGACCATCGCTCCAACCATAGCACCTTACCACTCACCATAGCTCCATTCACCAAAAAAAATAAATTAATTAATACACAATATTAGATCTGTGTGATAACATTGGAGCGCGGACCATCACTCCGCGCATATGTTGGAGCTAAGACCTGGTACATGAGACGCTCGTTCTCGTTAAACTGGTGCAAAAGTGCGGTGCTCCTAGCCTTCATGTGTCCACCTGTGCGCGTGGGTCAGAGCGAGGCTCGAGAGTACTATGCCATGGTCGAGAACCATCGACCCTCGATCCTTGACCATAGCATAGTACCTTCGACCTTCGCTCTGACCCACGTGGTGGTCACATCGAGACTTGGAGCACTGCACTTTTGCACCAGTTAAGCGAGAACGAGCTTCCATAAACATGTTTCTTTCGGCATCCTCTTCTTGAGGTGAAGAAGATTATTCTTAATGCAAGTGCTAAATAGTGGTACTAAAAGGAAGGTGTCCAAATATGAAGATACACCGCTTAAATAAAAAACGTATGTCGTATGAATTTCACATTATCTATACAAAGATTAGGGGTGAGGTATATAAAGATTTACGAAAAGACCAGGGTCCGTTTTTTTGACTACATGAGAACGCAAATAGAAACTTTTGATTATATTGTGAACGAATTTGGAGATAAACTACTTGTCCCAAATAGACCTGTGAACAAATACAAACCCAATTAACTTTTGTTTAACTATGATAGCGGCGATTCAATGCAAAGTATCCTGGTCGAGGGTCCAAAAAATACTAAGCTCGATTTTTACCCTGGCACCATGTATCAAGCCTTAGCTCCTCCAACCTATGCGCGGAGCGATGGTCGGGCTCCGATATTACCACACAAATCTAATATTGTGTATTTATTAATTTTGTGAGCGGAGCTATGGTGCGATACTATGGACGGAGCAATTGTCGGCGCTCCGTTGTGTGCACCCATATATGGGTCGCAAAATTAAAATATATTTGATTTATAAATTAAGTAGCTTGAAAACTGATTTTCCTTCCAATTTTTTGCAAACCTTTACTCTGTGTATCGAACGCTGCGTCCGGGAGTGTGTGCGCTACAGCGCTAGTCTGGCTTTGGCCTTTAGAATCGACAGGTGGGTTGAAGCTAATTCCTTCAGGCATTCCCAATTATGGCAAAAAAACAAACGTAAGCTAACCGACATACAGTTAGTACAAACTACACTAATGAATATGACGATTCAAGTTCTAGAGCAGAAACCAACGAGGTAACGGATAGTGAGCAGCGAGTTGAAAGTGATAGTAAAGAAGTAAAGAGTGATGAAGACATAAATGATAATAGTGACCTCTGTTTTGCCGTTTTCTAAATTTGCATTGGGTCTCGTACCTTTTTCAATTACTCAAGACAAGGAGCCAATATATATTTTCAATTTATTTCTTACTAACGATATACTTGATCTAATGGTTAGAAAAACAAATAATTATGCTAAAGATCTACAGCACAAAAAGCGTCTAGTAGCACGAATCTCTAGGAGATATGATACCAACAGGGATGAAATTAAAAAAATAATATTTTTGTAAGCATTTCATTTTTTTATTTTTTTGTGTCTGTCCTTACCGCAAATAAATTATTTTTACCTTGCCATGAGATACTAGATAATATATCTATTTTGTCTCGATGCCTTCTCTATGATGTTACTGACTCACGGACTAAATATAACTGATCAAATCATATTATATTTCTAGGTACAATAATGCGTATGATACACTTTCCAACAATAGAATGCTACTGGAAGAAGGATCCAATTTGTTAACATTTTGAAAATAAAACGGTGCCTTCTGTAAGCCGGTTATCTAAAATTAGTCCTTTATTGGATTTCGTAAGAAATAATATAAACAAGACTTACGCCCCAGATGCATAGAAATAATACCCAGATGACACTGTTGTTGTAGACGAGACTAAGATACCTTTCAGAAGTTGCTTCAAATTTCGTCAATACAATCCTTCTAAAGCCCACAAATATGGCATAAACATATTTAAAGACTGTTCTCCAAGTGGATATAAAAGTATATGATGGATAGAACAAGAGATATGCAGGATTAGATCTACCCGGCAGCACTGTGATCGATCTCGTTGAACCTCTGCTAAATGTTGGACGCTTAGTAATAACAGACAACTGGTACACCAGTATTGAACTTTCAAAATACCTCTACGAAAGAAAGACTAATTTATTATGCACTATAAGAAAAAATAGGGCAGGGTTGTCAAAAAAAATTATTTGCGTAAACGAGGTAAAGCCTGTAACTAGAATAGATTACAAGGGAAAACAACGGGTTGATATATCAGATCAGCTCTCCAGTTAATATACTTGTCTACGAAAGTCTCTAAATTGGTTCAAAAAAATGGCTATAGAGGTAATTTGTGGTAATTTGTTGTCAATACTTTTGTTTTGTATAGCTCCGTATGTTTGTTACAAAATCAGTTATCCACGCTACAAATCAGGAAATCTAATTCATAGCCTTTTAGAAATTATCAAGCAAGATACGTAACCAGATCCAGATACGCCAAAGAACAAGAAAAAAAAAATGAAGAAAAAGAAATACACAAAATGCACGAGCTGTAAGCATGTAAGAAAGCAAAGAAAGTTACTACAGTTTATTCTATATGTAATCAAGCATATTGTATAAAATATAGCATTTTTTATCTAAATAATAAAACTTTTACTAGTACGCGTTTACTCAAATACAGCTATAAGTATGCATATGTTTGCGATACACATGTGGATCGCGGAATGTATAGCGATAACGCCCTGCGACCCAAGCATGGATCGTTGGACGTGAAAATGTTATTAAAAGACTGAAATTTAGTATAACAATGCCATAATATTTCCTTAAATTAATATGATGGACGTCGGTCCAAAAACTAATTTTCTGATGTAAGTATGAGACACTTTTGGACTTGGGTATTTTATAAAATAAACAGAGAGAATGAAGTTTCCAAAGATTGAACATTATTATTTTAATTAAACTTCATGCATTTGAATTTACGTCAGAACTCTGGAATATCATACATTTTATTATCAGCATATTTTATAATTTTTGGGGTTCCCTGAATCCGTTTTGACTATTTTCGCGATGATGTGTGTGTCTGTATCTACAATAACTCAAAAACGGATAGAGGAAAAACAGTAAATCTAATAAGTTGATTAGATTTTGAGTATAGTCGGAGCATCTGGGGCGGGGGGTGCTAATGGGGTTGTTTTTCTACTTTAAGGAATATATCTATTATTTACGCTTGGAGGAGTAAATTGTTCAAATAAAAGTTGCTTGTGATTCTCTATAATTTAAGTCCTTTGAATGATTTTTCTTTTTTTGAATTATCCCGATATCATTCTCAATAATTTGTTCTATACAAAATTTCTCTAAAATGGACTAATGCAAAAATGTGAGGAAAAGTGTAAAATTTAAATTATTCAGTATTTTCGTTTGCAATGAATATACAGGGTGTTTCTAATTTTATGCGACAAAATTCAGGAGGTGATTGCTCGTATGAAATTAAGATGGGTGTTTCCTATAACAAAATTTCCTCAGCCCACCCCTTTCCGAGATATCACCCTTAAAAGGTGGTGACCAAAATTGAGTTATTTTTTTTTCTAAAATTTCAGTAAAGCATTTATTATGAATCGTATTACATTTTACATCTTTACTGTTTTCCACTCAATTTATTAAAAAAATTAAATTATGGTGTTTATTTTTCTCTGCAGCTATTGGTTTTGGGAAAAATATTTAAGAATAATTTTTTTTTTAAATAAAACAAGGATTTCAAGTTTATTTCATAAAATTTTATCTCGAAAAAAAGTTTTGATATGAAATAAAGTAAGGGTTGCTAATTTCACCCATCTATAATGTAACAGGAATATTGAAAAAATACCCGTGGTTAGTCCTTTGCGAGTGCACGAAAATTACAAAATTTCTAGCTTTACTGAAATTTTAGAAAAAAAAAAAATAAAAACTTAATGTTAGTCACCACCTTTTAAGGGTGATATCTCGGAAAGGGGTGGGCTGAGGAAATTTTGTTATAGCAAAGAATACCTACCCAAGAAGCGAAACTAAATGGGCGATTCGTGGACAAAAAACTGCCAAGTTTTCTCAGTGTTTTAGAGGTAGTTTAACGTCAAATATTCTGTCAATGTATGTAGAGCAACGTTTGGTATATTATTATTAGCGTTTTGTGAAAATTGCAGTATAGTTAAGTAGTTGTATTTAACTAAGTAGTAATTAGAAATTAGATGGTTTTAAAATTTGTATTACATGTTCATACATTTTATTGAACGTTCTTGCATCTAACTGTAATTTTTTTTTATTCTAAATCAGTATTAAGTACTTATAATTATAATTTACGCCTACGTTTAATTACCTAGTCTTTTTTTTAAATATGTTATTTTTTGTTTTTCAAACCAATCAATTTAAAACGGTAAATAAACAATAATTTTGGGGGGTGGGTTGGCTCAGTGGTTAGAGTCATGCCTCTGAGATCGGAAGGTCTCAGGATCGAATCCCACCGGTGGCAGGAATTTTTATTTAATTAAAAAAAATTAAAAATTAATTCTAATGCATAGGTACGATTCCCCACTCGACCATTCACTGTTGGGTTCTAATTAACAGTGCTGTTCCTAAAGTGGCGCTGGGAAACAGTAACAAAGCCTACACAGAACACGAGGCTAATGGCCGTAGTAGTCGACGCCGATGACACCAATATAAAACAATAATTAAAATATATGACAGTACTTCTAGATATGTAACGTGTGGCGGGTGGGTTACCCCCACGGCACTTAGGTCTAACTAGGCCCATTGTGTATCCTCCTAAGATGATAGGCACCTCCACTTGTGAGCCAGCCTACAGATTTAATGTAGTTGACAACGTCGCCAAGAGGTGCTTCTCTTATATCGGCCGGTGTTAGCCAATACTCGCCGAAAACAAATATTCTAATAAATGAGAGCGACAAGTAATCGTAAAGGATATGCTCAATGATCTCATCTTTTTGTTCGCGCACCCTGCAGGGTGAGGATTCTGGCAGCCCCACGAAAGGGAGATGCTTCTGTACTTGGCAATGTCCAGTCAGAATTACTGTGATCAGACGTAGATTCTGTCTAGTCATAGTCAAGTATTTGTTTGTTGTTGTGTTGCCAGGATAACTTAAAAGCTCCCTGGTAACTCTGCAGTTTCTTGTTTCATTCCATCTTTCCTTCAATTTCACAAGAGAATATTCTTTAATTAGGTCTGTCACTACCGATGTTGTCAGTACAATAGAAGGACAACGCCCAAAAAGTATTTGGGTAGTGAATCAGCAAGAACGCTACCTTTCCATGTGGCGTCACTTTTGATCCTCCATCTTAAGGTGACCACTTTGTTGGATGGATATTCTTTTCAAAGCTGCGAGACATTCTAGTACCAACCCTGAGTAAATTCGTAGTTTGTTTAGGACAACTAGTGCTTATCTGCTATCTGTATAGATAGGCATGTTCCTACCAGTGATATTGATTCTGGTGATTTCTTTTGCTGCTATGAGAACCTACCTCCGTGTGCTCGGTTTGAACTACATTGGCACTATTGCTCACAGCCCATTTTATGCTGAGATTTAAGGAATTGGATTATATTCAACATCCTGAGCATTGTTTGGTTTTAGTACCGTCGGTGTAGATATGAATCGTACCTGCCACTTCCGGCTGGCTCTTCAATTTGTTGTTATATCTTCATATGGCTTATGGAAGATATATCTCGGTGAGATGAGATGAGTATATCGAGCGCCTTTCGCCAAAAGCGACGTCTCGCCTCACTAGATCGTACATCAGGTTCTATTTCAACCGTGAAGAGGTGTGTCATTATCTTCAGAGTAACCTCTTTAATATAAATATCAAGGGGAGTAACTTCCATGGCTTTGGTTAATGTGGTTTTCATGGCTCCTGTTATGTTGAGACATGCAGTTATTTGAATTTGTTCTATTTTGGATTTTCGGTACTCAGACAGCTGCACCGTATGTTAGCATAGGTCTTATGATGGCCATGTAAGTCCATGAGATGACTCTGGGGGAGAAAACTCAGGTGCGCCTCACGGTTCAGCGACATTGTTCTTAAGTAATGTATGCTCTTTTGGCTCTGTTTTCTATGTATGAGTTCCATGTTAACTTGTTGTCAAAAGTGCTACCTAGGTAATTCACCTCGGTCGCAAAATTTTGTTTTGTGTTTAGGAGCTCTGTAGGTTTAAATTAAATTTTCATCAGTTTCCTTGTAATAAGGACAATTTCTGTGTTCTCGGGATTGATAAACAGTAAATGGTCATTGCACCACTGTTCCATAATTGTTCTTAAAATTCCCTATTTGCAGAATGACCAGGTCATCTGCTTTCGCTATTGTGTAGATACTGTCATTATTATACCTACAGTACTTATTTCTTATTAAAATATTCTATTTGACATAATGAACATAGTAAGAATTTTTCATCATTGTTATTTTAGTATGTTTTTAATTCTTATGAACCAAACGACAAAAATTGATTAATTTTCATACGTTTCCCAGTGTATTAAGTTCCCTTGCTTTGGTACATACGAAAACTAATTCAGTTTCGCTTCTTGGGTAGGTATTCTTTGGTTATAGGAAAGACCCATCTTAATTTCATATGAGCAATCACCGCATGAATTTAGAAACACCCGTATATAAAAAATTTTCGTGTAAAATATGCGTGTGGAGAATGTATGTATTTAGTACATCCTCTATACATTTACAAGGGAGATAAAATAGGTAGTAGAGAATAACCGGAAAAATCCGTAATAACTTAAGATAAGACAGGAAAGTCGGGCGTTGGACACATCAGATTTTTTCTGCATATTGTAAATATTGGATGTTTCATTAATTTTAGTTTTTATTGAGGTTAAGTTGAGTAGCGCAAGCTAGACTTCGCCTTATGATTTTTATATTACAAACAAATAGAGGCATTTTATTTATTATTTCCTTATGCAATTCATAAAACTTTTAAAATTATAAATCTACAAATTTTCAGTCTTGTAACACGTTAGTCGGATTGACTGCTGGCTCTCACACTATTAGGTCAGAATTTACAGTTGAAGATTGCTGAAATTGTTTGCACTATATTCTATCTCTAGTCAAAAGATACCTGCACCTCCCATATTAATATATATATTTGAGATCCAACAGATTACCTTAAATGTAAGAGAAAAGCAATAAGATTATTAAAAAATGCAATTTGTTGAACTCATAATTCATAATAGCTATTTATGCAATCATTTGCAGAATGCCTTATTTTATGTAATAAGTGAATATTTGCGGGACGAGCAGAGCGAGGTCCTGCAACATGAACGATTATTTCGTCGGTTTACAAGCAAAACATACTAAGTCAGATTTGATGAAAAATCTATTAAATCACTTAATGTATTTTTCCTGAACAAAATAATGCTAATATGGACTTAATGAATATGAAAATAATTTAAGAATAAGGTTATAATTCTTATAGGATATGGTAGATTTTACTATTATATAGAACAGAAGAAATCCAGTCAAATGATGTAAATGGGTCAAAAATAAAAAAATTATAAAATTGTGTTTTGGTAAAAAATTACTGACATCTAGGCAACCAATATTATTTTATTGTATTGTTAGTAGCATATGTATAATTTCATTCATTTTATTGCTTGTTAAAATTATTTAGTTTTCAAGAAAGTGGGTTATTTTGTCGTGTATTGGTTTAATTATTTTGTGCTGATTTAGAATGGAAAATAAGGACCAGAATAACATTATTACTAGGTTGTAAGTTGAACCAAATTCAATTTTTATAAGTCAACCTACCCTTATTTGATATAAACTTTCAATAATATAGTATTTATTGATTTTAAAACCAAAAAAGGTTAATTTTTATTTGTTTTCTTTTCGCAACTGGTGACAATGAATTTTTTTGTAACTAGTTTCATAATGTTCAACATTATGCAACTGGTTGCCTAAAGTAGATCATTTTGACACTTGCTGCGATTATAAAAAATGTCACTTTAAATGTAAAAATTAGAAAAATGTATTTTTTTAATCTTAAACTACTTATTAATAAAGAACAGTAATTCATAGAACTAAATAAATAATTATGTTAATTTACATGAACCATATTTACATATCTTAAACTACTTATTAATAATAAACGGTAATTCACAGAAAAACTAAATGAAAAATTATGCTAATTTACATGAATCCTATTTACAAATAGTAAAATTTTAAAGTACAAAATGCATAAAAAGGGCATCAAAAAAATTCGTTAAATATTTAATACGACTAATGATTATGAATTAAGAGTATTTTGGCTTGTTAAAACTTGAAATATCGCTAATTAAAAAAAAATGAATAATGTAAAAAAAATGTTTATAAGAAATTATAATAAACCAAATTGACGTCCCGGCTAATTATCCACTAATGAAGTGCCGTCATGTGAATAGAAGGAACTTAAAAATTATTGAATCAATAATTACAAAAAGTAAAAAATGTTATAAAACCAGTCAAATTTACCTTGAACCTGATAATTAAAATTAGATAAAAAAATCATAACATAAGCATACTTTAAAGGTAAATAAAATACTGTTTACATTGTTTAATAACATTTAGGAATTAAATAGGCAATTATTTAAGCAGCTAAACATTTATTTGGTATTCTACAATATTTCGAATAATAAAAAATAAAATAAAATGTTTAAATGTTTTATAGTAATATAGTATTTTAAAAATTATTTTCCGATTAGGAAAGGGTTAAAATAAAAAGTTATAATTTTACTTTATACATACCTTGTGACATAAAGTAAGGTATCCGGAATTTTCCTTCTATCACTACATTTCTTAAGGCATTTAACGTTGGACCATCGAATGGAAGGGAACCACAAACCAAAACGTAAAGAACTACACCTAAACTCTGAAATAATAAATAGCTTATATTAAGAGCGAAAAGTGATACTTTGCCACTTGAGACAGAAAGTGGCAACGAACTTTTCGCTCAAAATGCACACAAGATTTTTTCTACGATCACACTTTTTTAAGAAATAGATATAAACTGAAAATGTGTCCTAAGTAGTGTATAATGTGTTGCCTATAGGTACCTACGTTAATCACGAAAAAAAGAACAGTTGATAATCAAGTCCATGTTAACTTGTATAATATAATAATAAAAAAAAAACATGAAATTACTAACAAATAACTTGAAAATCATTTATTAAAAAGAAATATTATTATATTATAGATAATTTAAATTAGGCGAGCAACAGGCTGCCTCTTAATGTCAGTACGCGGAAAACGTCAACTTTGCGGTTGTATTTCGAAATGCAAAAGCCTACTTTGGGTAGTGATCGTGAAAGTAAAAAAATTATTAAACCAAGAAGGAATATCGCAGCATTTCTCTTAGTTTTTATGAAAATAATAAAATATGACTATCAGTTTTATCTAAAAAATTAACAAGCCATAGAAAAGAGGTGTAAGACTGAGGAAAACCTGAAAAGCGATAAAATATTTCGCAGTTCCAGTAGAACAGTGACACAAATGCAACTGTTATGGATGATGTAACGTAAACTTAGTTTTAATAATAAAATAATCAAAATGGACTGTAATAACTTTAATTTTATGTAATTAAAAAACTTCGAACAACTAAACACGTCTTACATCATTGCTTACAACGCTGAATCTCTGATTGTCTCTTTGCGGTGTTGCCACGTGCACATAATTGTCCGACAGCAACATTCTCAATAATTGAGTTAAGTCTCAAATGTAATATTTGAAGAAACACATATTCGACTTACTTATTTATAATTTTCAAAGTTACAACTATTTATGCAAAGTATTGATGAAACATAAAAAAAAATCCTTATTCGTTTTTTGTTCCTACCGAAAAATTTTAGTTTTTGCAGAAACATTACAACTAAGAGACCAAATTGTTTACATTTTTATGTAGCATATCATTAATCCCACCAGATTCTCGTTTATTGCGTCTTTGCCGGTTTTATCAGTCGGTAAAAATTATTTGGAGAAATTACTTTCGAAAAATAAAATTTGATGTATCCTATAACTATAATTTTATATTATATAAATAAAAATATGTTTTTAATCAAATTATTCTTTAAAGTTTTAATATAAGCTAAATTTTTTATTAAAAATCAATATTAATCTAAACAAAATATTAGGATTGCAGAGAACTCCGTAAATACGGCAACAATTTCTTGTACAAGATTTGATACAATTTCTTATAGAATTTAAATTGTATAGGATCATATAGTAAATTGTTTGAAAAATGATTATCCAATCTAATTTTTCAGACAATTTACTGCAGATTTGATAATATACAATTTAAATTGTACAAGAAATTGAATTAAAAACTTGAGTAGTCTAAAACAGTCTTAAAACAGTTTTTAAAGTGATATTCCTTTTATAAATTAGTAAATTATTCTTATACCAATAAATAATTATTGAATAGTGGTAAAGAAAATTTAACGTAAAATGTAGAATACCTTAAAAATGATTTACCTATTAGGCATCTATACATATTTTTTAATATTCTATTTAGGTTTCCGTAAGATCCTGAAAAAAGAAAACTTTGGTTTTCTCTAGTAGGGATCCTTGAAAATCCGCCCCTTCGTAAAAACCCAGAGTTGTGTTCAGAACACTTTTTTCCTGGAGATGTTTTGGTACGTGCAAATGATGCTAAATATATCAGAAAAGGTGCAAACCTCAGACGGTGTAAGGGCTTTCTATTTTTGGATGACTTATCCAACAGGTAAAAATACAAAATATTAATTTTTTGTTTATCTCTAAACATTACTTATTACTTATATGTATGTATATCTAATGTTTGGGTTTTTAGTTCTGATTCAACTGTTTCTGGAACACTACCTGCTGCAAAAAAAAACATTGCAGTAAGTAATAACACTAATAACTAAGCATAAAAAAATTAAGTGAAATTTTAGTTAATAAAATTAAGTTATTTAATATATTTAAAACGTTATATTAAAAATGTTTACAGTTTTTTTACGATATTTTTTGCCATACCATGTTTTTTTGTAATTATTAATTAAAAAATTATATATTTTTAGGACAGTGTTTTATTTAGATACCACTATCTAATTTTAAATAATTTTGGTTTACATCATACAAGGCAAATATATAGTAAATGCCAATAAACAATAAATCAATAAAAATTAAAAATCGGAAGGTAACTTGAATTCTCTTGTATTTGAATTTACTTGTACTTGAATTTACCTACATGAAAAAATCATAATTATATTACTAAGAAAATATACCTACTTATTTACGTATTTTTTAACATACTACTCTGACAATACTGGTAAGTTTAAAACTCTACGCCACTGGCGAGCATATTATGGACACCGTTTACAACGTTGCCAGCCGGTCCTAAGAGATCTGTCTTTCTCTCTTCCACTCACTAACAATTTTAAAACAAAAACAGTCCGCAATTGTATGGGATTTATGAATGAAACATTTTGTCTCTATGTTGTAATATCTTTGAGTGATTGCAGTTGTGTCACTGTTCTGCCGGAACAGCGATTTAATGAACGCTTGGTGCATGAATGCCTTAAGTTCTCTGTAATTTCAAATGAAATTAGATGGTCATTTTTACTAGTTTTTCAATGTGGACCACGTTTTCCAGCATAACTACATAATTTTGAGCTACCTACAAATGCCTTATTTTCAGCTATACTTAATATGATACTTAGTTAAGAAAAAAATTACATGAGGAATAACACATTTAACAAACACATATGACCGTTTTAAATACGTTAGAATTACCATGGAACAAAATAACAAAAATAAATAAAACTTAGAAATATTAACAATATAACAGATGATGTTTACTTTGAAAAAATGTCATAAGCTTTCATTAAAAACTTTGTTATATAAAATTGACCATCTTGTAATATCCATTAGGGTCTTTGACATCCCATAAACTTCTGTACCTATCCTAATTAACCTTCAAATCAAAATGAATAACTTTTAAATATTGATAAGATAAGCGTATTTATTTAAATAAAATTATACAGTGCAGGAGTAGCTAGCAATACACTAAGAAAAAAGATAAGAACCATACCCAAATGTCTGCCTTAGGCCCGTCGTATTTGAGGCCTTGGAATAGTTCTGGGGCCGCATAAGGTGGTGAACCGCAAAATGTAGACAGCAAACAACCCGTAGTGAATTGATTGCTAAATCCAAAATCAGCCAACTGAAAAAAAATCATATTTAGCAAATAAATTTAAAGATAACAAAAGGATACATTTTAACAATATTGGTAATATATTCGATAATATGGGGGACAACACGTTTTAATAATAATAATAATAATAATAATAATAATAATAATAATACTCTCCCTAATTCACCCCCTTACGAGTGAATTTTAACCCCAAAAGCTGAGCTTGTGCGGGGAAAGGGACGGATATTATTATTATTTGCCGTGGCGCTCCGGGGCGACTTAAAGATGATTGATGGTGCCATTTGACTTACAGGTGAGGAAAACCCGGAAAACCTCACCCACCATCATCGAGACGGTAATGTATGGCGAATTTTTTTAATCTGCATGTCATATCAACAGAAATTGAATTTCTATTAATACGGCACACATCAAATCCTATACCGAACCATGCAATTTAATTAAAAATCCACATGGTCTGGTATTCGAAGCCCAGCAGTCTCTGACACATAAACTTGCTTATAAATGAATATAAGCGCGTTAGACCGCTACACCACCGTACCCGATAGGTTTCATACTTAGATTATCACATCCTATAGCATTTGATTTAATTATAATAACTATAAAATATATTGACACAACCTATTGAAATTTTAAAGTGTAGTTTTCAAAATTACATTTGTACACATTTCATAAACATTTTTTTCAAATTTTGAAGTCTATACATCAATTGGTTTGGAAATGATGATGAAATAAAGGAGTTGTTAAAACATCCAAGTTCAACTTTTATACCTTTAAAACCTGTTGAAATTTTAAAGTGTAGTTTTTAAAATTATATTTCTACAGATTCGCATAAATATTTTGTCAAATTTTGAAGTCTATAGATCAATTGGTATTGAAATGGTGAGAAATAAAAGCAATATCAAGTTCTTAAAAAATCCAAGTTCAAATTTGATACCTTGTAACTTTAAAACCTCTTGAAATTTTAAAATGTAGTTTTCAAAATTATATTTCTACACATTTCATAAACAGTTTGTCAAATTTTGAAGTCTATACATCAATTGGTTTGGAAATGGTGATGAAATGAAGGCAATAATAAGTTCAACTTTGATACCTTGTAACTTTAAAATCTGTTGAAATTTTAAAGTGTAGTTTTCAAAATTATATTTCTACACATTTCAAAAATATTTTGCCAAATTTTGAAGTCTATAGATCAATTGCTATTGAAATAGTGATGAAATAAAGGCAATATCAAGTTGTTGACATAAATAATAATTTTTGGTTTTGTAATATGTGCGTAGATAAGCTAATATCCATGTGGTTGTAGAAAATAGCTATTTATGCAACCAGTTACGAATAGAACATCATATATTAATTATGTATTCTCAACGACTTGTAGTGTGTTTATATTGCTTATTAGTTTAGTTTTCAAAAAAGTGGGTTATTTTGTTGTGTATTGTTTTAATTACTTTATGCTGATTTAGAATGGAAAATAAGGACCAAAACAATATTATTACTAGGTATTCAACCTGCTCTTCTTTGATATAAACTTTCAATACTAATGTATATAATGATTATAAAACCAAAACAAGTTTATTTTTATTTGTTTTCTTTTTGCAACTGGTGACATAATGAATTTTTCGTAACCAGTTTCATAATGTTCAACATTATGCAAATGGTTGCGTAAAAGATCATTTTGACACTTGCTGCGATATCAAAAAATGTCACCACCTTATGTAGTTTTAGAGAATATTGGATTATATTCTATCCGACCTTTTGGGTTTCCGAAATTATCAGTTTCTTCTTAGAAGTATTGGATACACGCAGAATATCCTTCCCCTCCTCTCCATGCCAACGCATGTGAAACTATGTGAAAAACATGTTCGCTGCAATTTACGAATATGAAAACGCTGACAATACAATGAGTACAGTCACTTGAGTTTTGCTTCAAAAATCATGTTAAAATTATGCAAGTGTTACCTCTAACATCCCGTGAACTAATAAACGTCGAAAGCGAGTGGCTTCGTATTATATCTCTGTTTATGTAACTGATAAACACAATTTGAATTTTCTGCATTATGCAATTTTATATAAATCATTTTTGATGTTTTGTTTTAGAATATCAATTGATCCGAATTAATTAAGAATTATCAGCATATAATTTAATTTGATATTAGTTATTTTAAGTTTATTGCAAGAAATGGAGCTTTCTAGAAATTACCTATTGGTACACTTCATATTCAACTTCTTTTGGGAACTGGAATATACACGGTTTCAATAGTTACCTGATTCTAAGTTTCATTAATCACTGAACATTTTAATTTTATCTATTCTTCAAATAAAAGTTACTTACAATATTGTTCTCTATAATTTTTGTTCTATAAAAATGTTTCCTAAAAGACCCGGATTCGAGAAATTTGACAAAATGTAAAAAAAAATATTTATGAAAATTGTTCAAATAAAAAATGTTTCTCATATAATTCTCTATAATTCTTATTCCATATATAATTTCTCTAAAATGGACCGTATTCGAGATATTTGAGAAAAAGTGTAAATTTCGAATTTTGAAGAAAACTCAAAAACGGATAAAGAAAAAACATTAAATTTTAAAATTAAGTTTTATTCCGGGCTGAGGTAAACGGATAAGATTTTGGGCAGAGTCAGAACATCTGGGGGGTACTTTATAGGTCGTTTTTATATTTTATAGAATATATGTGTTATTTATGTTTCGAAAAGAAAATTCTTCAAATAAAAGTTACTTCTAATCATATTCTCTATCTATCTGACAGGTTAAAACAATAAAACCGACAATTCCGAAGCAGAAGCGGATGATTAAAACGTACCTATTAAAAATATTGCGCCAAGATGTAGGCAACACGTAATAAGGGATCAAAATGGCGGAGTTTTCTATCTCCTTTTAAAAGGCACTCAGAAAGCTGCGCAGTGCGACCATTCACCGTATAGTAAAAGAAAATCTCAAAGTATTTGAACATTATCAATGGAAATGATTTCGAGTTAGACGTACTAGATATATAATAGAATTTTTACGATAAAGATGCTGATATCCAAAGTATGGGTAAGTGGAGAGTTTTTTTGGTTGTAATATATAAATAAAAAATTTTTCGTATTGAATTTAAAGAAAATTTTTTTTTTTGAAATTTGATTTATTTGTTAATTAAATTTTAATTTAAATAAATGTTTAATATGAATTATTATTTTAATATCAAGGCAAAACAATAATGTCACTCACGTGATTCTACTGTGCCAGCCCGGGCTCTGCAGAATTTTTTTCCCTGAACCCAAGATGGCACAACTGAACCCGCGGTCCCTAGAGGTGAATCTGATGTTTAATCTTAAAAATTCCAAGTCACTCAACAAGCGTACTCATGGTTGGAGTCAGACAAAAAAAGGGAACGGAAATCATAAAAGTACCATGGTTAATTTTTTTATTGTTAGATGATAATGAAGCATTGGCAGCTGATACTTATGAAGAACAAGAAGTACTGTTTATTGAACTAGCTTGTGGATACATGGTATCTAAAAATGTATCTACGTCAGAAATGCCTACTCGCTAGACGGCAACGAGATATTGCAAATAGTCACTTGCAATATGACAGAAAAAGAAAAGATCTGTTGGATAAAAGGAATTTATGAAATATTATGTTATATGGGTGATTTTCACAAAATGTTAATTTTTGAGTTTCATTTTTTGTTTAAATAAAAAAATAATTTTTAAAGTTATTTCACTACATATAATTTAAGTTTGATCATACAAATGAAACTAGACACCAGGTTACACACTTTATTCAGTATTTTCAAAAAAAAAAAAAAAACAGTTTTTTAGAAAGGGTACTTTCACGGAGGTGAGAACACAATAACGGAGGTGATAAAAACTGGCATATTGAAAATTTTAATGGCTAGTGGCTTGCAAACTGAAGGTATATTTAAGTATTATTGGTAGGTACAAAGGTATTTTTGAAAGCGTAATAAACTTTTTTATTTTAAATTGCAAATTATTTATTGAAAATGACAAGTAAAAAATATTTGACAAAAGTATGAATCTATAACAATAGCAACAAACAATTGTCTTGAAACGGAGGAACTTAAAACTTGTTTTTAGCCTTTTCACGTTTGATATAAAACAAAACGAAACTAAACATACTAAAAAATTAAACTAAACATACTAAAAAAAAATAAAACTAAATTAAGTAAATGACCGACTGACAACTTAAAACGAAATCCTAATTCAGGTATTAGTCAGTCTGTTGGTTTATTTTCTCAGTATCTTTTATTAAAGGCTTTTCAATATATCGTCATTCAAATTAAATATGTATTGCTCTCGGTTATTTACACAAGGCATGTCAAGAATTTCTAAAATGTCACTATTTTCTATAGGATATGTTTCTTCGTTTTCTGGGAACACAAATTTATTTGCTCCAAACACTCGTCTCATGTATTTTATTGTGCAGAAATCATGAAATACTTCTAATACAGGGCTACAAAATTTTTAACTTTTTTTTTCCTTTAATTTGTACGAGAACATAGTTATTCACTTGAATATCTTTGTTTTTGGTATTTGTTTCTAAAATGTCTTCATCACTTTCACTTCCTGTATCATAATTTGAGCTACTACTGGAAAAAACTTCTGAATATCTAACCCTATTGCTAGACATAGTATGTAATTCTTCAACATTAAAATTTCCTAGTTTGTAATGAGGGCACCTAACAATTCAGTCTAAGCATGACAACTTTCTAACTTCCATGAATGGATTTGTCTTTTCCCAAATGTATTCATGGGTTTGCATTAGTCCTTTAAACTTTGGTAATATTTTGGGTAAACATGCTTCTATGGAATCCAAGTTATCAAGAGATAATCCATAAATGTTGATGCCCTTGCATTTTTCAGATACTTGCAACAAAAATGAATCAAAATCTGGAATGTCTATGCCACTCGCCACTAGCGAATCTGCTGTCCTCTTCAGACAGCCTCCTACTCCGTCTGGCGCGCCCTTACCATGGCCCTTCTCACTAAA